GGTTTTGAGCTGGTGCGGTGAATCCAGAGGCAGTGAGTCGAATGATTAATAAGTAATCCCTTAGTCACCCATGGGGCCTGCAAGACATGAACACACTGACACCGTACACAAACATCCACATGTATACACACATTTACAGTACATGCTCACACATTTGCACCTGTCTGCATGGCTTCACCAAATTCTAAAGCTGAATGATTTGACTGTCAGCCAACATGCTCCTGGCCCCTGTGACACTTTGATTTGCTCCCTCTTTTGCACAGCTAGCATGTGTGAGAGACAGAGAATGTGCATGCAATGCCTGTGTCAGAACTCTACCCGCTCACCAAAGTTTATTTGTTACTCCCTGGACACTGATGTTCAATAATGCTGTGAATTGTCAAGAGCAGTACTGTGCCTCTCACCGCGGTCAAATTAAGGTCAGAGGGTCGGCTGAAATCCCTATTCTCAGCTTGACATTGATTTTCACAGATCAATACCAAGCTATTCAATAGCTGGTATTGGAACCTTGGAATGGAGGGCTGTAATGAGTTTGACTTGTAAAATGATGACAAGTTTTGCTGGTTAGAAGAAGGTGCCCAGAGAGCTCAGTGTTCTGCAAATACAACACAAGCAAACAAAGAAACATCTGCACCAACTTGACGACACATGTGCAGCATTTAGAAAAAGTGCTGCAAGTACCTCACGACACAATGGAAACTGTTTCTTTGAGATCTTAATGGTTTAAGATTTTCATGGGATTAAAATGCTGACAGTTGGCCATCAGTTTCCTAAGGAAGCACCAAAGCAAAAGCACTAACGCAAACATCTCAGTGTGTAATGTGGCTTTATAAGCTATACATAACAGTGAAAGAAGTCTGGTCACGTTGACTTTCCTGCCAGTAAAAGCAGCAAGCAGTCCAGGGGGTCCTCCATTCAGAAGCTGCGTACAACACAGGCAGGAGTTGGTGCTTGAAGGGTGGGGGAGGGACTTTTCTGGGCAGGTATAGCGGCCCCTCTGTGATATTTCCATCTAACTGCAGCCACTGATCCATCCCTAATCCAATTCCTGCCTCCAATTACACGTACACACACTTCCACACACAAAACAATTGCACAATGTACACACGATCCAGCATGCACACACCAACACATGCTACTTTACACACACACACACACATACACAAGCAGAGAAAGAAACACACACACACACACACACACACACACACACACACACACACACACACACACACACAGAGGAACCACATTTAAGAAGGGTTTGAAGTAAACCAGGCAGAGAAACGAATACAGTTGTTGTGGTAAGTGAAGCGGTGTTCCCATGGATTAAGCGGCACCACTGAGGCTCTTGGGTTTGTGAAAGTGGGAATGTGTTGTATTGAAAATCAATGCCCACACTTCTTGTCATAGCTGTTTATATTGGTTGTTTTCTGCGGACACATGCTGTGCTGTATTGATTGTGGAGAGTTTTCATTCATAAACAAAACAAAACAAAAAAACATAATAAACACTGAGGTGTGAGGCAACAAGTCACCACCTAGTACACAGATGTTCTGGGTAGCAGTGAAGTGGAAGCATTGATACAATTAATAACAAATACTCTCGCTCGTGTTAATGGAGTCACCCTCAGTGAAGCATTTGTCACATCTGTGTGACAAATTACTGGCAACCTCTTTCTGTAATGGCCCACTTAAACAGGTCCACACACCTTTCTGTTGAAGGTCATCTGTTTTGACACACTGCAGATTAAGTCATTTTAAATTACACTCCTTTATACATGTCTCTTTTTGATCTGCCTTGCCACAGTAGGGTGAAAGTTGACAATATACAGTCACAGAGAACAAAATACAACCCAGCAGACAAATATAACCACATCATTTCACGTCTGCAGCTATCAAAATGTGACAGCTCATTTTGCGTTCCTGCTCCACAGTCAGTCTGCTATCTATTTTCAATAATTTCTTTGCTTCTTTTTGACCAAAAATGTTGTTAAACCAGACAGACTTATCTCTGTGCACTTGAGGGAAGCGTGAAAAGAAGCCAGTAGGGGGAATTGAAATGACAGGCTTGTTGATTTTAAAATGAGAGACACTTTCTATATCTTTTTTCTCAGTCAGCATATTGACCAAGAGACCCACACCAATTCATTGGCGTTACTTACTTGTTTCCCCCATCTCATATCCACTGTCTCTCAGCAGTTCAAAGATGTCCACCTCCAGCTTGCCCGTGGTGGAGCGGTTAGTGCTCCTGTTGATGCTGTCTTTGGCCAGCGTGATGGCTAAACGCTCTCCTCTGCTGCACTCCATAGGGTCGTCAAGGATGGCAGCTGAGAAGAAGGGAAGGGAAAGTAGCGATGGTTGGTGAGGGTGAAAGGAATAAAAAAAACATCCACACTGGTAACTGCTGTTTTTCGACATTAAAAGAAGGTAACCAATGTGGCCCGTGATCATTCAATTTGAGAATGCATCATGCATTTAAAGCTGCTCCCAAGTTGTATAGATTTATTAGTACTAATACTTGACATTTTGTGCACACTACTCTCCATTAGTCTAGAGTGCTTATGGCATGTATTATGTTAATAAACCCAAACACTTTGTGAGCAGCTTTTACTGGGTCAAATCTACTTTTGTTCTAAAAGGGCGAGTGCTATTTAATGTAAATATCCGGTCTGTATGATGAACGTTTGGAAGCAAAAAAGCTTTAAAATCTTAAGAGTGCTGCAGCAATGTAAATTCATAACATACTGGTATTTTCAAGAGCACAGCAGAAATATACATTCTTAACATGCTGTTTACTGCAGCAAAAGCACTCAAACATTTGTCAGTTCTTTATCTTTCACAGAGGCAGTGTAGGAACTCCAGACACTGCACAGAGATGCTACACTGTTTACATCTACAGTAAGATTCAATCAATCTGCCACAGAAGCATTAAAGAATGATGAGAGAACATTATATACTGATTATGAAAGAATCTGATACCGGTCATGTGTTCTAAGGACAATTATAGATAGACTGGATGTAGATAATGCACTCTTTTCATTTTCGAAGAAAAAATTATGTAATTCCATTCCTTCATTTAGAAATGATTTAAATCATTCCATTATGCATGATAACTATGGCGTGGTATATTCGTATGCACTTTCTAGATACTGTGGCAATAATAAAAGATATTCAATAGAATGATATGCATTTTTATTCAAACTGTATTCTGCGACCTTTCACCCTTAAAAGCCTTGCGTAGCATTGATGCTTCGCTCGACATATTTCTACAAAATAACAAATAACCTTGGAAGCGTATATGAGAGTGAAAAGCTTTAAATTGCGCCTGAACCGTAAGATTCTCAATTTAAGATTATGTACGTCTGCGTGTGCGTGCGTGCGTGCGTGTCATCATGGCAACATGTGGACCTGGAGACACCCTCTGTGGAATTAATCACCACAGAGGCGGGCAGGTGTGTATATGCCGTCTGTCTGTGGACAGATTTTGTGACTGTGATAGCCTTGCAACAAAGCAAGATGCAGTCACACAACTGTACAGGTATGTAGCTGGGATCAAAACGAAGGCTGTCCGAGCAAGATCACTGACGGTCTTGGCCATTACCAAAATGTAATAGATAAATGCAATAATTTAAACATTTCACATTAAGCACTATATTAGGATTCATCCCGACTGCATCATACAACAACCAACATTTATACGAACTATAACATACGAAAATCTGCAGGTTGAGTGTTGTAACCTCAAGCCTATTCATATCATATCATTATATTATATTCCTGGTGTGACTTGATGTAATTATAGCCCACACACACCTATCATATAGGCATAGATGTGCAGAACTGCATACAGAGCTGGGACTTGCTGATCACACAGTCGAATAAACAACAACCAGCTCTAGTTTGTAAAGATGAGACAAATCCACTCATCTAATATCATCACGGGGAGTCGCAGCAATATCTAAAATGAATTGAAATGCTTTGCTCAGAAGCAGAGAGTAGCAGTGACAGTTCATCTGAGGTTGCACGTGTCTCTCTGTCTCATTGAAAAGCTGTGAACAAAGGACATATTAATGTCATTATGCAGTTAATGGACCCACTCGTGATCATGTACAGGCACGTAATGCTTTGCAAGTTTTAGATTTTTTTTTTTGGATGAAACTCAGCCTCATAAATATTCATCTTTCAGCGCTGTAGACTTCTCTCTGTCCGAGGATGAACACTTCAAATCCAGAGGAAAACCCTGTGATTAAGATTAATGTCTACACAGCAGCAAGTTTTAAGTGTGGTTTCATCATGATTTCTTGTCAAGATCACGACTAAAATATTAGACCTCTCTGATGTGTAATTTGACCATTGCCATGTCTTACACCCGAACATATGTAACATCCTTGCACTAAGTCTGCTAAAATCAATATCTTTATATTAATAGTGGATCAAATGACTACATGTACTGCATATGAAAGGGGTCGCTAGTCGAGACAAAGCCACAGAGGATCATTGATCGATGCTGCAGTCTATGAAGCGCTGTCTTTCAGCTCATCGTTTTGGTTTTGTGGCCACACAACTTCACTGTGTTAGTTCACTCTCACTGCTCTTGTCAGCATTTTTGGCCAATTTTACAGCCCTGTTGAACGCTACCTATCAGCACACACAGCAGTAAAAAAGAAACAAGTTAGTTAATAACACTGATGTTGTTATGGAAATTGTTTAAAAATGTTATCCTTCTTAATTTGTGGCGCTGTATGAGATGAATGGTAATGTGATGTTCTTTTATTGGGCTGGGCACCATATGGTTCAGGACACTGAAATAAACAAATCAACCCATTAGCCATTAGGTGCGGCACACAAACAGCTCTTTAGTCAGGGGACTTTGCATTATAATTAATCAATGCGCAATACTGTGTCTGCAGTCATAAGTATTTCCTATGAAGTCTGTCTCTCTGAGAACATGTAAATGTATTTCATCACTTTTGTATTGTCCTGTCATGTTTCTTCTGTATGTTTTATTTTCTGTAAATCTCATTCATTTCAGACCATTTTCCTTGAGAATGAAAAAAAAGTGAAATATCATCTTTCCCAAATCAGAAATAAAAATACCAATAAAATGTAGTGAATAATAACTTACATGCCTTTGTATCCACACAAGTAGGTGGGCGCCAACTAAATAAAAAGCATAGTTCTGACATATCTTGGTCTCCCAGGTGTTGACATTTGGTTGTGGTCAATATTTGACAGCTGGCAAACTAGCGAGGCTGTTTACACAGAGGGAAGACATGAGCTGGCCCTTGATCCATTGAAACCAATCAATGAGTAGCCCAGAGGTACGCTGAGGCGTAGCAGGCTGTGGACTGTATAAGGCAGGCTCTCTGAAAAGTAGGTATGAAATGAGAATTCCTCCGAGGTAACGGCCCATAGCACAGGAACACGATGTCATGAGGCTTTTTACTGTAGCATCTCTAACAGATGTGACCCTTGTGCAAACACGTCAATCTCTGGCTGACCGTAATAATGGCACCCTTTAACAAGACTGTATAAACTCTACGAACGGTGTCATTCACAACAACAGTACTGTCTCAAAAGATTGAGAGCCCGTATTACATGGAACATTTATAACTTAAAAACGCCACTTACTGCACTTTCCTATCTTTCTCTCTGCTCACTCATTCCGAGTAGACACATCACAAGGGGCAGGGAGGTCTGTGAGGTGTGTGTTTCGGGACAGAATGAAGAATTGCTGTTAAATGTTAGTCAGAATCAAAGCACTCGGATCACAACATGTGTCAAGGGTCCTGCTCTGCGAAAATTGGTAACGGAGCCCTATTGTAGAACACTAAAGGAAGGTCCAAACAGAGGCTTGCATTGCCTTACTGAGCAAGTGATGCTTTTTGTGACACAGTAGCTTGAAGTATCTCGGGAAAGAGGCAGCCAAGGGTAAAAAACTCATTATCCTTTTGAAAGATCTGCTGGCTTCTCTATTAATTCAATGCCCGCATCTCTCTTTCCATCAGACCAAGTGCTAAATGCAGATCAAATGAACTAGTGCTTCGCCCACTGTACAAGGTAATTAATGGTAATGTCCTCTCCAACGTGTAGGCTTTGATTGGGGGAAAAGCCATCTGATAGGGAAAGTGGGGGAAATAGTTCAGAGAGACCTTTGATCAAATAAAGCTATATGGATACTATTAAGATCGATTTAGCATGGCGCTCATTTGAATTGAAAGTTAGTGTACGTGTTCTCAATGGTTATATTACCTTTTGCCTGCTCCTCTTGTCTTAGGTAAAGGAACTCATCCATCTACTTTAGTTATTTCAGTTATTTTTGCCATGCCAAAGACTAAGTTTAATGTTTTATTCAAAACAGTAGCTTCTTTGTTCTTCTGTTTTACATGATATTTTGTCATCTATATATGAGAAATCAGCTTTTCTTCAAATTATGTCAACTACTCTACACTCAGAGAAATATGTGGCCCATTGTGTGAGAGCAGTGCAGAGCGGCAGCCGTGAGCCAACCAGTGAGGTACACTCACATGCATTATACTACACTATGTCAACAAAGCAAGGAGAAGCTCAGATAACAACACACATCAGGTAAACAATACTCCACACTATCGTTACATAGCAAATAATTGTTTGCTGCTATATTAATGTTCAAATATAATATTGAGGTATTAGCAAGAGCACGCTAGATCAAAACAATTATCCAACCCAATAACCCAGTGGTGTCTCTTTTCCAATGAAAGTAGCAAGCTGTACTAATTAGCTCAAAAGTTGCTAAATCTAGCATGAGAGTCTCCACGTCGGCAACACAGAGAGCAGGTCCTTCCATGCCTCCCTCCAAGGCCACTCTCCGAAAATCTTCATTACGAATGTAGACACATCATAATGAACGTTACTATTGAAAATATTATGGTTAGCTAGCATCTTGTGGAAGATTATGAATGCATGGGCAGAAGAAGCGCTTTCAGTCAGATAGGTTCAATCATTACATTCAGGCCGGCTGAAATAATTGGACAGGCTTCTTACAGGCCGGTGACATACAGAGAAACCATGTTTTTTTCTTTTTTTTTGGTCAAAGCATTTGTTTCATTGATTGCTGTTAGGATGTAATGAGAATTTCAACAAAAATAGTAAAAATGTTTTTGAAAAGATAACCAACCCTCCCTTTAATGTGGTGCCGTTTAATGTTTGTAATCTGATGGAGCACTGGACAAGGGGCAGACAAATTGATTTGAATCTGGAGATTGTGATGTGATGACTGATCACCTCAAGTGCTTTTTTTTTTTTTTTTTTTTTTTTTAAACGCTCCCTTCCCCATATCCTGGCATCG